GGAGGTTTAGTCTGCTTATGAATTCCCAGCCTTATCTTGGCTTCGTTTCTTGCCAGCTTTCCTTTTTCTTCTGAGCTTTTCCGGTTCTCTTACTTCCATTAATCTTACTCCTACTCCATAGCTTGTTGGTGTGTAGCTGGGTGGCTGGTCCCTGGAGTCCTCCTCCTTCTCTGGCTGCTCCTTCACTGGCTCCTAGATCTCTCTCCAATCCAATGTAAAGTATTTAAAACTAGTAATTGTCTTCTAAAAGTAGATTCAATAATCCCCCTTTTTATCTTATCATATCCACACCGCCCTCCTCCTGGCAGCCAGCAACTGGGAGCACCAGCCGCTGCCTCCATGGTCCCACCACCACCATTTGTGGCTCAGCCCTGGCCGAAGCTTCTCCTTAGCAAGCCTCCTAGGCCGGCCTCAAACTTGGGATCCTCCTGCCTCTGCCTCCTTCAGTAAATCCAACTAGTGTGCCACCACAACCGGCAACATGTAGCTTGGGTCTGAGCTGGGGCCTGCAAGGCCACATGCAAGTAGCTTTTCCTCGAAGTTGAACCCCATGTTGGACTCCAGATGTAGATGAATTGCTAAACGGTCTTATAAATGAAAACAAACCCAGAGCCAGATATTGGGGTGAATGCTGAAAGATCAGAGAAGCAGAACAAGCCACAGCTACCTCACCTCGCCAATTCCTCAGCTGATCCCATTTCCTCAAACCGGAAGCCTCTGTGTCCTCATCCGAATGGGTCTCAGCTGAACTGCTGCTCAAAAGCCTAAACCTTAACCAGGCTCTAGTTCCTGGTCCTCATGCCTTATATACCTTTCTGCTTCCTGCCATCACTTCCCGGGATTAAAGGCCTGTGTCACCATGCCTGGCTGTTTCCAGTGTGTCTTTGAACTCAGAGATCCGAATGGATCTCTGTCTCTGGAATGCTAGGATTAAAAGTGTGAGTGCCACCATTTTCTGGCCTCTGTATCTAGTGGTTGTTCTGTTCTCTGACCCCAGATAAGTTTATTAGGGTGCACAATATATTGGGGAACACAATATCACCACAGCAGGTGGCAATCTTCTGAAATTTCAAGGCATTTTATAGATCCCTGTGTGTGTTCCAGTCTTTACAGTATGTCCTCTGTGTATCCACGATATGGCGGCGGTTGCAGTTTGTTCCAGGGCATTCGCACTGGGAGGTGAACTTCCAGGGAGAAATGCATGTTCTCATCCTCATGGAGGAATAGTGTCATTGCAATAAGGGCCTGTTGCAGTGAATATGCAACCTGAGTGCCATGTAAAAATATGGTGTTTATCACTCTCTTCTGTTCTTCATTCACCGTGTGAGAGGACAACAGCAGGTTATCTGAGAAGTCACATTCCCGGAAGAGCTGGGGTCTTGCTCTTCATCTTGCTACCTGCAGAACTGAGAAAGTTCATCTTCTTTTTTCTCTCTTTCCTCTTGTTCTTTTTTTTTTTGGTAATTTTTCCATGTATGATGATTTGTTGAAACACATACTCAACCATATATAATCTCATAACATTATTCTGAAATATTGACCTTGGGTAGAGGGTAGAAAATAGCTTTCATATTTGTCTCCAACTTATTCTAAGAGGAAGAGCCTTCATGTTCCGAGTTAAGCTGATATTTGTCTATACTGCATGCATGTAATTTTGCTACTATAGCTATTGTCTTTACAAGTTCATTGTTATAGCCTATTGCCATTGGTCTTGGTGGTGCACCAGAACTTGAGGTTAAGACCCCACTACTGGAAACACTACAGGCATTCTTCACAGGACACAGAGAAATCAAAGGTGTCATGAAAAGATGTTTTCTCCATATTGACTAGAGTTATAGTACAGAAATGTTCTATTGAGGCTGATGGATGGGACCAGCAGGAGTCTCCTCCAGCTGTATTCCTGTGAGCTAAAAATGACAACCAGCAAGACAAGACAGACCTGTTGGTGTAATAGTGGATGGATGTCATGGGAGGGACTGTCTTATATGCTGTAAAGAGACACAATGACCAAGGAAATTAATAGAAGCAGAAGTTATTAGGGCCTTACAGATTCAGAGGATGAGTCCATGGCCATCAAGGCAGAGATCATGACAACCGACTGGCATGCATGGTGCTGGAGCAGCAGTTGAGAGCCCACATCTTGGGATAACAGCATGGGTCAGAGAGAAAGTTCATCTCTAGTGACACACCTCTTCTGACAATGCCGCACCTCCCAATCCTTCCCACAGAGTTTTGCAATCTGTGACCTAATTATTCAAGCATAGGAACTTATGGGCCCATTCTCATGAAAAACAAACACTGCCATAATGAGCCACATTCTCATTGGAATTAAAATCCAACCCACAAGATTAAAAGCATGCTTCACACTGTAAATCTAGACTAGAACCCGTGGCTGGCAAACTCACAGGCTCCCAAGGTGATCCTACCACAATTACTATGTTAAATGATCAGATCACAGTGCCCTCTGAATTCACAACTCTCTACCTTGGAATTCACAGCTCTCTACTCATAGGTTAGTGAGCTCTCAGTCCTCATCAGAGAAGTCTCTTAATGCAGGAATCTGTGTTTCACACTAGAAACTGTGAAAAGTCAGAGATGAAATATCTGTGGAATTTGTAGTCATAAATGCGATATTTGTATCACACCTTCCTCTGAGTCTCAGAGCCCTTTCCAGAAGAGGGGTGGGAAGATTTTTAAGACCCAAAGGTCACGGTATTTTCAATAAAGCACTGTCTTCTGGACATGAGAGTCCTGCTTTTTTTAGGAACTCTATGATGAAGCCAGTCAGTATTCTAACATGGAAGGGAAAGGAGCCCACTGGCCCCGCCCCTAACTGAAAAGCTGTTGACAGTTGGTGGTAGCTTCTAGAGAAGGAAGAGTCAGTTTTTCTTATGGTGATGATGTAACGGTAGGTTGAGCAAAACTTGGTGAATAGCCCTACACACGTGAGAAAATGAGCATGAAATGTTGCCTTAGATAGGAGACACACACACACACACACACACACACACACCACCACCACCACCACCACCACCACCACCACCAAATTGGTGCAGTTAAGTGTGAGATCACGGAGGATTTGGCAAAATAAAGGAGACTATGTTTAAAATTCACTATCTCTCAAAGAATCAATTAAATTGTATTATTTAAAAGTGCATTGTTTAATGCTGCTAAAATCTCTATGAAGACTTTATGTTTTAAGGGAAAGTGTGAGAATTCACTGTCACTGAATATGCAATGGAAGTCACTGTCACTGCAATTCAGCTCCATGTGCTTTGGAGGAGACGATTTTGGCTGCAGAGGCAGGTGATGGAAGGGGCTCAGTTCACTCAATTATGCTTTTCAATCATGTTTACTGCCTTGTGTATTAATAAGGCCTAGGACAAATGTTTCATCATCTTTGCAGAAAAAATAATGTTAATTTCCCATTCATTTTCTATTTTTCAGAGTAAATACCTTAACTATGCAGTACTTGATACCTAAATAAAACATGAATAATAGAAAGTCCTGGGACTCAGTTACTTAGAGTTAAGATTTGTTGTTACTTCTCTCTGCCCTGTGGTCCTTATTGACAGCACTCACATGTGCTAATGACACCTGTATTTGTTCAGGTGAAACCTTCTTGGTACAGCGAGAGCAGAAAGCCTACACCACAGTGTCCTAATACCATTCATATCCCCGAGTGATGAGATTCACAAAATTAGAAATAGAGACCGCCTTCCTTGTAGAATCAGTATAGTTACTGAAAATATAGGCAAAATGAAGATGAATTTTACAAAATGGTTTTAAAAGCTCTTTCCTGTGTTAGGTAGAACTGAATAAGGTATTAATTTTCATCGATTTTTGTATGAAATTGTAATGAATATTCTTGCTGTTTGACCCTTCTCCTGGAGTGTCCAACATTAGTAACACTCACAGTGTAACCTTTAGGTAGATAGGCAGAGGAGCTTGTTTCCGGATGTACTGATGTGTATCCCACTTGTTCTTGACCTCCTTGTCACTGCAGAACCTTTCCCAGCCTCCACGTTGAGATCAGGTGTGAAGATTGCAAGCCTTGTGTGCTAAGGTGTTTCCATCTGTAGCTGTGGCTCTAACTGCAGATCGTAGGAACAGAGCCAGGATGGTGGTCCCAGAGTCTCATCATTTGAGGGCAGAGAAAAGACGAGTGATGTGAGTTCAAGACCAAGCCTGCCCATGTAGTAAGGGGTCTCAAAAATCCAACCAGATATTAGAACTGGACATGATAATGATTGAAGGAAGAGTTGGATATTCTGGATACTGAAAACTACATACTAAAAACTCTTACTTGATTTGGGTACTCAAAGTAATAGATGACACTTAAGATGTAACAATATAAACCAGTTCTTTATGTAGCCATAGCTCTCATTTCATTGGTTTTTCCATAGAGAATTACATACATATCAAAAGCTTTGTTCCTGACTCAACTATCCATGTTATTCCAAAAAAAAAAAGGGACAATGCTTTAATATTTATGGAGATGATACAAAAGCATTGTAAGTACATTTGAGGTGTGGGGAAATAGTTGAGTTTATATCTAAATATAAATAGGAAATTTTACAAAACATATTCATAGGATAATTGTTGACTTTCTGGGGTCTGACACTCTCAGGTACCTGTATAAATCTGAAACAGAAGGCCGGCCAGGGTTCTGCTGCTCCAGTGAGAAGTGAGCATGTTTACAATCCTCTCTTGTGTGTTTCTCTCCTTCCAGATGAGGGCAGCACAGTAGGGACGGATTTAATATGAGAGACGGGGCTTGAGAAACGTGTGGGTGGAACGGGGTTGTAGGAAAGGACAGAGCATATACCCTGGGATGTCAGCTGATTTAAAGGCTCAAGGTATGGGCTCAGTGTCACCATGGAAACTACATGTCGAACATGATATTGTAATGTCTGTGTTCATGTCTCCTTATGAGAAGAGAGATCTAGGTGTGGAGACAGGAGTGTTGAAATACAATACAAACACAGGAAATGTGATTCACTTCATACATATTATGATATGAATATCTAACTAAACAAAATCTTCCATTAAATAAATGGTTCTTAAATTTTACATTTATAATTTGTAGAATTAAAAAAAAACGCTCACCATTTGCATTATCCTTCCATCTCCAGCTCATTATTTTCCTTTTCACTCCCTCTCTCAGATTCATGGCATGTTTTTATTATTGATACACATTTATAGATAAATGCTTAAATATATGCTGACCATAGGCTGCGCTGCTCAGTGATGATCACACACACACACACACACACACACACACACACACACACACACACACACACTATAGGTCTGAATACTAAGTATTGGATAACCAGGTAGGGGACTCAACTACATTAATTCTCCTTCTATCAGCAGTGCTTAGTTACCTGTAGCTCTTTGCCTCCATGGGTTTCCCTTACTGACAAGAGCATGGCTAATGGTATTGTCCTTGCTTCTGTCCCACTTTGGCTCCATATTTTGTCGTTTCAGGGGTATAGCTTCCGTGTCCTTTTTGGAGGGACCCTCCCTGCGACTATGAGGATCAATATGGAACACACCAACAAACTGCCACCTCTGCTTCCCAGGATCAAGAGGGGAAAGACCAGAGTTGCAACATGTCAGTCTCTAGTTCCTCTAAGTGAAGGAACACAACACATTTCACTCTTCCTTGGACATGAATCTGTTCCTGACAGTGTTGTGGTACCATATATAGGATAACAGTGGAGGTCCATTCATCCTCATGTGGAGTCTCACTGGAAGACAGTTTCCAGTGCCTGGTGTCAGTGATCCACTGAGCCCCCCTTTACTCCTCTGCCTCTCAGGCTTCATCAACAACTCTCTAAGATTGGTGCTAATATGATTTTCTCACTGGATGGGGTTGGGAGCTGTCTGTCCAATTTCGAAGTTTTTTTGTTTTGTTTTGTTTTTTTTTGGTTTTTCGAGACAGGGTTTCTCTGCGTAACTTTGCGCCTTTCCTGGAGCTCACTTGGTAGCCCAGGCTGGCCTCGAACTCACAGAGATCCGCCTGGCTCTGCCTCCCGAGTGCTGGGATTAAAGGCATGCGCCACCACCGCCCGGCCCAATTTCGAAGTTTTATCCCAGTGATTTTACAACTGGGTGAGGGCTCCTGCCTACTTGGCACCTTTCACTTGTTTTTTTGTTTTGCTTTATAAGAAACTCCAGAAAATGGCAAAGATACAAACTATGGACAGAGGTGCACCGATCTTCAGGATGAGATCTGTGCATACAGACATGTGCCCTATACTTGAACCTACCTATCTTCCCTGTTTGTGAGTAACTATCACAGCCTGTTCTTAAGTAGTTCAATGTTAGAAATATAGGGACAGGGCACATTCCACGAGAAACCATGGTAGTAGATCAGTCATTTTATTAACAATTATATACACAATGTTAGGGCAAAACATGTACAGTAAGACTGATCACTACAAGGCTTTACATCTGCATTGTAAGAGATCCATAGAAATCAGGTTATAATTCTGGCTTCTTGTAGATAGGCTCCTGTGAGGGTTTAAGGAAACCTAGGAACCCATGTCTAGTCTTTGAACATGCCAACAAACATACCTCTAGAGGGAGGAAGTCCTGGGATTTCCATTACACATTTTTATTAAAGTTGTGTCTGTATTCCTGGGTCATAACATTCTTAGTCCAGTGGGTTCCATGATGTTTCTAATCAGGTCAGGTTGAGGGCCTAAGTCACCAAGAGAGGGTGGGGAACCTGAGATATCAGGACATGTGTGTTTGGACCACAGTCTGGACATTTGTGAGGGTGATGTCACGTACCAGAACACCAGCCCTGATCCTTGTGGTGATTCCAGGTGCTTCTGAGGCTGTAGTGTTGGCCAACTCATACAAGATCACTTGTCCTGGAGCTATTGAAGACATTTGGGCATATAATAGCACCTGGGTGCAGCCCGCATACCTATCATGCCAAATCTGCCCAAGTTGTTTCTCTGGTGTGTCCCATACATGATGAAGACCATGTTTTGGGGTCATGGGTCTTTGTGGTGAGCATCTTTCCTGCATTTCATGAAGAGAGTATGTGGCCCATAACCCTTGAATTTAAATTTGACCCTGGCTTCTTGGTGGAAAGGGAGCCAAGTTCATATTGCAATTGATTCCAGTCAGTCATCAGCTTAGGAAGGCTTCTTTATGTATTTAAGATGTTTGGTGAACAGAGTCAAGCCTGATAAAAAAAATCAGGTGAAGTCACTAGAGGGCCATGTGCCATGGAAATATTCTTGACGTTAAGGCATGACCATGTTTCCAGTCATTAACCAGAGTAGGTCCTTCTCCTATTTACAGCCATGGTTTGTGGTCCTGGCTCCCTTAGTGTGAGCAAGTACAGGGTCATGTGAAGAAAGGGTGTGGCCTACACACCTTTGAATTTATGCTGGACCCAGGGTACTGGTAATCAGGGAGCTGGCAGGGCCCCATTGATGTCACTTTCTAGCCTTTGCCCTTGTTAATTCCTCAGACCACCACCTCATGGCGTCACAGTGTGTAGAACCTTAGTGAAGGAGTGTATGTCCTGGGTCAGACCCAAGGTCAAATTGTTGTTCTTGACCTGGACACAGAGGGTTTCCTGGGTGCGGCTTACACATCCTTCATCCCAGGCTATTATCCCTGTCATTTGACATCATGTGTGGTGCAGGTTACTTGAAAGCCATGGCATTGCCTTGACACATGTGTTGTGAGATAGTTGCCTGTGTTGGGAGAATCACAGGTACAGCCCACAAACAAGAGTGGAACCAAGAGGAGCTTCCAGATCAACTCCATAGTGACTGGAATTCATGGCCTATGATCTAATGTCACTCTCTGGTGAGGATTCCAATTGTCTTGGTGATCTTGGCATGGCCTGGGTAACAAATGAGGCTATGGTTTGTCCAACAAAATATATTGATGTAAAGATAATGCTTGGTTTCAGAACAGGTCATGGTTATTGGGGTATCCATTTCCTTTGATCATTAAGGTGAGGTTTGGTCCCTTCAGGGCCTGGCCCCTTTTTGGTAGCATTTTGTCCTGGGATGCATAGAGAGAGGGTGTGGCCCACACACCCTTGAAGATATGATGTCAGGCTACTTGGGGTTTAAGGAGCTGCCAGGTTTCCTTTAAGATTCTTTTGTGGTTTTGCCCCTGGTCATAAGTTGTTAGGTCATCATCAAGATTTGAATCTTGGAGGATATAATCTGTCCTGATGTCAGTTATTTAGAATAAGCCCAAATCTGGGTTAGTCCTAGATTCTTGGAGAACAGGCTGTAGCCTGAGTTACAGTTTGAACACTGTTTGTTCCTAAAGAAATCAGTTTAATCCAGATTAGTTGTGTCTCAGACAGCTAAAGGGTACATTATGACATCCTTTATGGTAGGATATGTCTACATAGTTAGGTCATTTCAATGAGGCCTTGGCACATTATGAAGATGGTGTCATCCTTGCTCACATGTGTTCATGTGGTCTGCATTGAATGAAGTATGTATATGTGATCCATATACCTATTACTCAGAATGTCAGCTTACATTAGTGGTCACTTAGGGAGTATTGCAGTTGGGTCATAGATTATGGATCAACAAGCTGGGATGAGTCTGCATTGAAGTCTTGATTGGTTTTAAAACTCAAAGTAAGGCTTTGGATCCAAGTGCCTCTTGGTCCACAGTCTAAACACAATGTTGAAACACTAGTTTTGTCTTGGGCACTCTTCTTTGTTTGGGCCCAGGGCTCTTGGGTGAGAGTGAATCTGGCTAATTGTACAGTAGCATTTTGTTATGGACTTCCTGAGTGTCAGGGTTTGGCCCAGGAACAATCCTTTTCCTGGTTTATCCTGGACCCATTTCAAGTCTCATTTTGGACCCTGGCATCTTGAGTATTGGAGTAAGCCCCAGGCCAGGGCTCTTTTTGTTCTAGGACCCCGATATTTCAGGTTCTGATATATCCTGACACACTCCTTTTTGTTTGGTTTGTCCTGGCCCTGTCTCATTCTCTATTTTCCCACATGTCTTTGTGCTTTGGGCCCAGGCTCGTTCAGGGTCAGGGATAGGCCCAGGCCCACATCTCTTCTTTTTTGGGCCCATGCCTTTCAAAGTTCAAGAATAGGCCTATACCTCATCTCTTCTTGCTTTGAGTCCAGGACTCTGCAGTGTTAGGGATAGACTCAGGTCCACCATCTCTCCATTTTCTTTGGGCCCAAGCCTCCTCAGGGTTAGGGATTTGCCCAAGCTCACATCTCTACATGTTTGAGCCCAGGCCTCTTCACAGATATGCCCACTCCCATGTCTCTCTTTTATTCAGGCCCAGGCTTCTTCAGGGTTAGTGAATGATACAGGCCCACATCTCTTATTCTTTTGATCTGAGACTCTAGTTTTAGGGATAGGCACAGGCCTACATCTTTTCTTCTTAGGACCAAGGCCTCTTCAGTGTTAGAAATACGCCTAGGCCCACATCTCTCCTTTCTGTGAGCCCAAGCCCCTTCAGATAAGGTATGGACCAGGTCTACATTTCTTCTTAGAGCCCAGGCTTCTTCAGTGTCTCATATAGGCCCAGGCCCACATCCCTTCTTTGGGCCCAAGTATCTTCAGGGTCAGGAATGACCTAGGTCCACATTTCTTCTTGTTTGGCCTGTGGGCTCTTTAGGATCTGGGATAGGCCCAGTCCCACATCTTGTTTTGGCCTGGGCCTCTGGGTTTAGGGATAGGACCAGACCCACATCTCTCTTTTTCTTCCAGCCCAGTTTATTTCATTTTTAGGGACTGGCCCAGGTCCATATATCTCTTTGTTTTGGCCCGGGACTCTTCAGGATCAAGGATATGCCGAGGCCCATATCCCTTGTTTGGGCCCAGGCCTCTTCAGGGTAAGGGGCCAGCCCAGGCCCCCATCTCTTTCCTGGGGCCTGGGCTATGCAGGGTTATGGAATGGCTGAGGCCCACATTACTTCTCTGTTGTGTTAAGGCCTCTTCAGTCCTAGGCTGACATCTAGTCTTCATTGGCTCCAGGACTTCTCAGGGTAAGGAACTGGCCCAGGCCCATATCTCTTCTTTTTCTGGTGTGGGCCTCTTCAGGGTTAGTGGCAGGCTCAGGCCCACATCTCTTCCTTCTTAGGGCCCAGGCCTTTTCATGGTTAGGGATTGTTCCCAGGGTCCTATCTCTTCAGGGTAAGGGATTGGCCCAGGCCCACATCTCTTCCTTCTTAGGGCCCAGGCCTTTTCATGGTTAGGGATTGTTCCCAGGGTCCTATCTCTTCAGGGTAAGGGATTGGCCCAAGCCCACATCTCTTCTTTATTTGGGCCCAGGCCTCTTCAGGATAAATGTTATGCCTGGGACCACATTCGTTCTTCATTGGGCCCAGGCCTCTTCAGGGTAAGGGATTGGCCCAGGCCCACATCTCTTCTTTATTTGGGCCTAGGCCTCTTCAGGATAAATGTTAGGCCCAGGCCCACATCTCTCCTTAATTGGGCCCAGGCCTCTTCAGGGTAAGGTTTAGGCCCAGGCCCACATCTCTTCTTCATTGGACCCAGTCCTCTTCAAGATAATGGTTAGGCAGGCCCACATCTCTCCTTCATTGGGCCCAGCCCTCTTCAGGGTAAGATATAGGCCGGTGCCCACATCTCTTCTCTGGACCTATGCCTCTTCATGTTTACATAATGGCCCAGGCCCACATGCCTTCTTGTTTTGTCCTGAGCCTCTGTGTGGTTCTGGATAGGCCCAGGCCCACATCTCTTCTTTTAATGTTCCTGGGGCTCTTTGCCTCTTCAGTTTCAGGGATAGGCTCAGGCCCACATCTCTTCTTGTTTAGAATGGTGAATCTTCAGATGAGGTAATTAACCTCTGCCACGTGTCTTCTCCATTTGGGTTGGGGCTTTATCAGGTCAGGGAGTGGTCCAGGTCCAGTCCTCCTCTTTTTTGGCCTGGGCCTCTTCAGAATGAGGAATTGGCCCAGGCCCACATCTCTTCTTATTTTAGGCATGGGCTTCTTCATTGTTAGGGATTGTCTCAGTACCACATTGCTTTTTGTATTGTGCCTGGCCTTTCAGGGTCAGGTTTTAGCCCGGGCACACACTTTTCTTGAATTTCCCAGGGCATCTATCATTGAGCCACTGGGATATGCTTACATATCTTCTCACTTTGGGTATGACCAGCCTCAGGGTAAACATACCAGTTTCTTTACAGTTAAACTAGTGAATCATTTTGAGTTCTTGTAGGTCAAAAGATACTTTTACATTAGTGTTCATATGTGGTCAGCATTTCTGAAAAGAAAAAGAGAACCATCAAAACAATAGACATGGATAGTTTGTAGAGGAAAATAATGGTGCTCTTTCCTGGCATGTCATTGGAAACATGCACAGACACAGGCATCTGTTCCCCACTTTCAAGATGATAAAATTATACATTATACCAATAGAATGATGGAAAGTGTAGTAAAAAGACAGCTGGGAAGGCCTTTCTTGTCGCACCCAGCTGTCCTTTGAGCTGGTACTTAGGGGAAGTATCCAAGGGCTCCTTTTATGACCATTTAGTGAGAAAAAGCTCAGATCCAGTCCTCCTCCTCCTCCTCTAGGGAACTTCACTCTGGGAAGAGCAATCCCAGTGGGGATGAGTCATACTCAGCCCCAATGTGCCAAGTGTAATTCATGGACTATCATTTCTGATGCTCAGGTTATCAGCAAGTTTGTATAAACATCTGAATTGTAGTGTGTCATCTGCTGGATCCTGGGTGCCAAGCTGATGGTTCAATTTGTCCTGCAACCTGTCCCTTCACCACCATTAACACAGCTGGAAGGAGGGGTTCCCAAAAAGCAGGATGTCATGACGTTCCCCAACCCAGCCCTGTCATGGCAGTCAAAGACTTCTGAGGATGTCACTCACCGGAGAACAGAGTAGCAACAGAGCTTCCTCATGTGGAAGTTTGGAAGCAGGAGTCCTGAGAGGACAGGTGTGGCTCTGCCTCAGCTGTTGTCACATTTTCTCACAAATCCATGTGGAAATTAGTAGAAGTAAACAACTGGCAGGATCCCCTCACACATGCACATGTATGTAGAGATTCACCCACAGATAGAGTAACACAAGGTTCATAAATAAAATACAGTCTATAAAGTCGATGTGGAGAGTGTGACATCACTGTGTGTGGCTGAGGAGGGAGGAGCCGAATAAGGATGGTTGTTTTCAGGAAGGTTCTTGTCTTGAGAAGCCCAAGAGAAGGTCCCAGGGAAGCACCTCCTACCTCCCCTGTGCTGACTATGCCCCCGAGGGATTGCCACAGGTTGTTGCTGAAAGCTGTGGATCTTTAACTTCTACAGAAGTTCTAACCTTGAGTCTTAGACTAGGTGCTTCCTTGGCAGTGTCTCCTTGCTGAGTCTCTTCCTGACATGTGTCTAGTGCCCTGTCCTGAAGATGTAGTGTGGCATGTCACTCTGCAGACATGCTTGTTTTTACTGTTCTTTTGACTCCTTCCCAGGACTCCTGCTGTGTTAGATTAGGAATACCTCAAGAACTTCCTTGAGCCCCGGTCACCACCAGCATTCAGGGCTTTGTTCCTACACCTACTGGGATGCCTGTAATACCTGAAGGCACACGCACATACGTATTTATATACCCAGATCATGCATGGTATGCACCAGACCATTTAGATTTAAATGTGGGTAGTGTGCATTGTTAGGAAGGTACCTTTAGTTCTGTTTCATATTGTGTCCCTAATGTCCTTCATTCTGGGCACAACCCATAGGTAGAAAAGACAAGATTAATGAAGTGAAAAAGCAAAGGCTCTTCAGAACCCCTACAGTAGGAGTCTGTGAAGCATTTCCTACCTGCCCTGGACAGTATGGGCTGCCATACCTGACTGTTGACCAAGGCTTAAGGCACAACAGCTTCATCCTGCACCAGTCAGTGTTACAGTTTGAGTGTGGTCAGCCCTTGGCCACATTCTCTGATGAGTTGTGGGTGTCATCCCCCTGAATCTTTGTTTGGAAAGTTCCTTGGCATACACCCCAACAATACTTACTGATTTTTTTTTTTTTTAGGACCTGTTAGTGGGCACCTCAGAGACCACATTGTACCTCACATCCTTTATCATCCCAACTTCCCAGTAAAACACACTGAGGTCTAGTTTGGCCTTCATCCCAGGTATCCTGTATGTATTTCTCCCTGCACATAGCCCAACCTCACTGCCTACCTGCAATTCCTCCTGAATCCCAGTCCACCCCAGTAGACACTGAATTCCCTCACATTAACAACTTTACCTTAGCAATGAGCTATTATATGAGGTAACAGAGGCCTGACCACACATCTGTCCAGCTTCTTCCTCAGTATCTGAGTGTAGCTTGAGGAACAACGATGCTTTCCCACACTGTGCTGAGCACACTGTCTCAGCAAAATGGGAGGTTGTATATGTGGTGATGTTATCATCTTATTAACAACGCCTGAATATGAAATTACCCTGTCTCAATAACAATGTGTATATTGTTAGGGGAGATATGTAACAGTATTCAGCATCATCTGTATACACTTTCATACATATGACATGGACCTGCAGATAGGAGCACACACACAAAGTAAAAACATGCATATATATAGAATGAGAGGGTAGAGTGATGTCATGGTGTTTCCTGTGTCATCTATCTGAATACAAATGAAAACATTGCTACTTCAGGGACTGGAGTCCTTGGGGAAGCAGACCTTAGTACCCAGATGCCTTTCCTACCTTCCCTGGACAAGTTTATGAGTGATGGTCTAATGTGGACGTGCAATCAGCAATGGTCCTTTCTTACCTAGGCTGGGAGGTGAGTCCTGGTCCAGAGATACTTGTCCTGCTTCATTCCAAGACCTCTCTTCCTGTTTTGAAGATGGGGTTCTCTCCCTGTGGTCTTGAGGGACCAGTCCCACTGCTATGAGTCATCAGATCCCTGCTCTTTCTAGTTCTTTCTAGGATGAGCTGTCCTCAGTCAGGAACATCTTAAGTCCCTCACTATGTTTCAGTCTCCCCTTTTAAGTTCCCAATGAAGAAGTGCCTCCCACTGAGTGAGTTACTTACATGATGAATGTCAGGTAGTGTCCCTTCCAGAAAACAGTCCAAACTTAGCCAGACGCTTGGGTCTGCTTTGACTCCCAGCCCTCCTTAGTGGACTCTGTGTGGTTCTCAGACAAAGAACACTGCTGTTCCTGGGGTAGGGATTTACCTGTGAGTTCAAAGAGACCTCACCTCACTTTACTTTTAGAATCCCAAAGGGCATCCTGGCCTCCCAGCTTGGTCCATCCTTCTTCTTTCCCATACTCTGTCAAGCATCTTTGGGAAACCCTTAGATTTGGGGAAATAGCTGGAAGTGTGTGGTGGTATTCTAATTGTACTGAAATGTGATTTTGATTGTATGTTAATAAAGTTGCCCAGGGGTCAGAACTATTAGAGCCATAGACAGAGTGTGGTGGTGGTGGTGGTGGTGGTGGTGGTGGTGGTGGTGGTGGTGGTGGTGGTGGTGGTGGTGGTGGTGGTGCACGCCTTTAATCCCATAGATCTCTGTGTGTTCAGGGATACAGCCAGCATTGGAGACATATGCCTTTAAGACCTAGAGGGCTGTACATACAGACAGTGATGAGGCAGTCACGTGTTTGGGTTTACAACCAATGAGAAGGCAGAATGACTATGAAACGACGTACACACAGGGAAATAGCTCTCTTTTGGGAAGCTGGGACACCGCAGGAGGAAGGGTGAGATTTTAGCTCTGAGCTCTAACCTCTCGGCTTTCTCTTTTACATTGTTTCTGTGTTTCTTATTTAATAAGATGGTTGGTTACATTTACAGAAGTGTTTTCCAGAGACAGCTCCCTGGGAATCACTGACATACATCTTGTGTCAGCCCTCAGTCTTTTCTGAGGTAACTTCATCCTTGCGAGGAGGCACACAGTTGACAGTGCTGCTTCCTCATCTTAAACGTCTGAGCTCACACTCTGCCTCATCGTCTCAGATTCTCCATAGGCATCATGGTCTATTGCTGGCACTCACCTGCAATGTGCCACGTTCTGTCCCTGGGATCTGGCCCCAAAAGTAACCATACCTTGTTTCCTGCCTTAGCTCTGTTCACCATTGCTACTAGCTTGAGGTGCTCTGTGGGTTATTAGATGAGTGTTTGCCGGAAAGGCCAGTGGCTCTTAGTTTTAGAGGGAACAGTATGAAAATATATAGATAAATAATGAATAAATAAAGAGCATCCATGAATCACAATAGAATCCATTACCGGCAGAGCCCAGCTTGAGGTGCAGAGAATCCTGGGAGCACATGTTCTTACTTGTCCCATCCTCAGTGGACCGTCTACCCGAAAACCTCTGTAAATGATCATTCTGTCCAGGTATCTTTCAAGCCACTGCCTCCAAGTCCTTGCAGGTTATGCAGTGTTGGGAGCAAGTTCTGTTAGCCCTTCTCTGGCCAGGGACTCTTTGTCAAGTTTATGATTTTCTTGCGCTGGAGCTGCAGTCTCTCAACCACCAGGTTTCCAGTGTTTCTCATGAAGGGATGGTGGATGTAGAACAAGACTTACACCCATCACTGGAGATTGCTGGACTCTCATACATGTGGGACCACTGTGCAATCTCTGTAGTTAATCAGAATGTTGTAAAGTTGAGTGGATAATCACGTAAAGCTTTAAATCTTTTCCTGAATTAGCCTGGCTCTATCTTTGGAGACAGAATGTCCAGCTTCTGGCATGAGGACGTTTTAAGGAAGTCCCATTGTGTGTATTTGCATTCAAATAGTATCCCATGTAGCATGACTCAAGAGCATGAGGATCTCTGGGTGTCTTTTGGAGATTTTGTGAAGTCAGATCACCTGATGGAAGGACACGCTTCTATAGCAGATGAAGGAGTAGCCATAGTTGGGTCCTGAATCTCACCATGTGGCTCCCTCCTGCACAGGCTCATCGTGGCTGTAGCTGGCCATCTGAGATGGAACACCAGTTATATCTGAGAGTATTTGGGCACAGAGAGACCTGTGTCATTCATTATTGTGAGAAGTTGTCCCCTCTATTCAAAGTATCACCATCCCTTGTGGGCCATTCCTGATTAAAATCCTGGAATGAGAACTTAGAGTGGAGTTCATTTTCAAGTCACCCACACTAGCATTAAAAGGGTACACTTGTGTGTAAATTGTATGTTGAAGCTCACACTTAAGTGGGTTGGGGTTAAATGACTGCTGTCAGTCTGCTTCTCAGTGAGCTGAACATGAGTGTCATCCTTCCTCCAGCCTAATGTGTCCCAGGATCTGTAGCTTCGTGTCTTTGACAGTAGCAACAGTGTGAGCCTTGCACTCTGGTTCCTAGTGGGGATTCACCTCTCCCACTACCTTTTCCCATCTCATTAAGAACCCAGATTTTACCCCACATGTCTGCATTAAAACCGACAGAAGATGCAGCATAGTTATCACTGTGGTGAACAGGAATAAGAGGGACATCACTGGAAAGCACGGTATAAGTTATAATTTAGTGCTATTCACGTATATCCAATGTTCAGTAGTTGCTGAAATGCAGCCCTGTGTCTAATTTTGGAACTGGAGGTTGAGATGACTGAGGAGTTCCCCACTGTGTCTGTTCTATGTCTTTCCTATTCACCAGCTGACAGGCACTGGGTGGTTCCCATTTCTTGGCTATTGTCAATGGCATTACTGAGAGCATGTGAGCACACTTCTGACACACTGGCTCTGTATCCTTTGGATCTGTACCCAAGAGTGTGACAGCTGGATCTCATGGTGACTATGTCTGTTTTCTGAAGGGCTTCCATGTTGTTTTCAAAAATATCAGTACATTCATGTATACAATTTTTGTTACTATCATCAGTGAAAATTAATTCAAGTTAAATAAAGTACCATAAATCTGGTAGTGAGTCCAATGTTGAAGAGCTCCATTCTTTGTTTTTTTTTATTTTATTTTATAATTTAATTTAATTTTACATATCAGCCAGGAATTCCCTCGTTCTCCCCCCTCCCGCCCCCTTTTCCCCCAGCCCACCCCCCATTCCCATCTCCTCCAGGACAAAGACTCCCCCAAGGACTGTGATCAACCTGGTAGACTCAGTCCAGGCAGGTCCAGTCCCCTCCTCCCAGGCTGAGCCAAGTGTCCCTG